TGGTTTTTTCTCTAGTGGAAGTAGATTGTAATGTCTTCCTGGTAGGTTGCTACATAAGACACTAAGTATTGAAACGTCCACCACTACCAATGAGTTGTTCCCTGGTGGAAGTAACTTACATCCATTGAAAAACTCAAGTACTATCAACACTACGATTGAGAACTTTCCAAGTGCATTGCACGTTCTCCTAAAACAAGTTGCTTTGCTCTTATCTCAGGTGATTGAGCTGAAAGACATCATCCACACATTAGAGAACGCAGGGGAGATTGGCTTGACCCTTGCCCTGCACAACGTGGATGGGGACACTGTGAAGCAAAACAAACCATGTTGCTTCGTGCTCGAGCCCCTGAAGGACAAGTCCCAGGAAAAGAAGGTCTGGGTTCTGTTGTGAGCAATCTTGATTCTGTTGCAATTTGGTTCTGTTCAAATCTCCTGTTCTTTTATGCATCCAGGTGGGCCACGCAGCCACCTTTGGAGCTAGATTGAACTTGGCCAAGGTCCGCACGAATCAAAACATCAAGCTCTGTTGGCGCATGAGGCCAGGCCCAAAGATTGCTATTCCAAAATGGGGATCCGGGAATAACAAGTCTCTACAAGGCCTTAGCCTGTGGACCTTAGCCTTAGCAACAAAACCCTCTCGTGCGATGACTTGCAGAGTGTCTGAGGCTTGTCTGCAATGAAGGTGGAAAGCAGCTATCGCCCATCCGCCCGGTGATGGTTCTACCTGGGGACATGGCGCTCAAGTCGGACAAAATGTACTTGCTCGCCTGAGGTCTCAAAACCAGACCCTTGTGTTTGGTTCAATCTCCCAAACTATGTTGGCTTTCATTAGGCTTGTTCAGCACTTCAACTTCTGTTCCCAACTTCTTATTCAACTTCTTGTTTCAGCACTTATAAGTAACCTAAGCCTCAAGAGAAGTTGTGTTTGGGCCAACTTGTGATTAGATCCAGTCGTGCTGTTTGGGACGTGGGTCTCACTGTCTCCTAGACCAGTGCAGCGGGGGTCCCATTTTGATCGCGACTGCTGTGGAGAGAAAAGATGCCCAGTTAACTGACTGTCTGTTAGCAGATTCAAATAAATCTGGTGAGCCTACAGTGATGAACATGTCGGGTGGATTCTAGTTGGAGCACCATGCCAGTGCCTCTCGGCTAAATCATATAGTGGTGTTGAAAGGTAGATCCCAGTGGGCAGGGGCGCGGCATGTCTTCAGATTTCCATCTTGACCGAAAGTTCAGTGTGGGCGACTACAATGACATCCTCGCTCTTGCTGGCGGATCGAAACCACCACCGGTGAACCCATCTTCCCGGCCATCCGCACTACATGGTAGTGGCTTTGGCAGCTTTTACCACTTACTGTGGCTAAGAACAAATTTAAAGTATCTTCCACTCTAGACCGTGGCTGTAACTTTTCGTGGTCCTAGGTGCCAGTCAAACATCAACTCTTTGTCGTCCTAGGTGCCAGTGGCTCCACACTTTCTAATCCTGGGTTTGGTCGCGTTGAGCTCAAAAGTTCTTCAGAGTCACCAGACAAGAAAGAGGAGAAGGCAGGGCGTGGGTTGGTTGTGTGTTGACAGTATGGCCATACAATGCCATCCAATACCGCTGCCATCCATTGGCCTAGGATGAGAAGCAAACCAAAAAGAAAGAGAACAAAACGGGGAGTGTGAAGTCATCAACAAAAAAAAGGAGGAAGCGCCAGACAAGAAAAGAAAGAAGAAAGATGAAGCGGATGACCTCTTTGATTTTGATCCCTTGGGTGCAAAAGACGAAGATGATGAAGAAGACAGGGAAGGAGCTGGGGATGACAGTGAACAGCAGAAGAAAAAGAAGAAGAAAGCAGAGAAAGCTGCAATCCAAAAGAAACCATCCAAGAAAACACAATCCGGCGAAAGAAAGGGAAAGCCAGGAAGGCCCAAGAAAAACTCTGCTGATGCTGGGTTGCATCTTGTTAGTGACCCCATCGCACTCATGTCCGCAGCTCTTCCCCATCCCATCACATTCACATCCTTTGAACCATGTTGCTTCCAAGGACGCTCTGCAAGTTGATGAATCTGACAACGACGACGGCGATGATTACCTTGCCGGAGTCTCGCTCAAAGAGCTGGGGAACGCTATGGAGTGTGAGAAGCCGGTTTCCTCTTTCATCCAGGACTGGGAATTGACAAAACCAAAAAACATGCTGTGGTGGCAAAACCAAGAATGGATACCGGTGAATATATTTTTTGGGAACCTTCTTGAAACCATCCAGGACCAGAAGGATCACGATGCAACCGATTCAGAGAGGACGCTTTGTCTTGGTGAGGAAGGCATCAACATGGACAAGGACAAGGTTTTTCTTAACAGCGTGTTTTATTCACAGGGGGCACAACAAATGAAACCACATGAAACCTATGGCAACGAGAGTGAATCACACACCCAAGTTCCACCTTCTCCTTTACTTTGCTGCCATTCTTTCAAAGGGTATTCAGCCGATCTAGACCAATCTGAAGTGGTCACCAGGACAAGATGACCGGGCAAGGTGAGTCGACCCAGCAACAGTCTTGGCCTACGACTCCCGTGCCAACACCGTGCAGGGGAAACGCACCCAGCCCAAATGATGTCCCCGCTCCCAAGGACAGCGCATGTTGATATTCAATGATGGCATTATTTTCCATGGGTAAATCAATGCTTTACCCAACAAACATGACATGATGCCATGATGCTCAGATACTTTTGATTTGCTCAAGAAACTTCAACAGGTGACTGTGCGGCCGGGCTTCACTATCCCGGCTCAAGTATTGATGAATCCACTGCCTTCGGAGCTGAGACGCGAGGAGTTGCTGCGGCGTTCAAACGCGTGTTGCTTTGTGGACGGCTACATCTCATCACCATCCCCCGTGGCCTCTGAAATGGATGACCCTGGCCTACTGCCATCAGACTCCAAGGCTGGTTCACACTTAGGAAAAAACGTTTTAAAGGGTCCAACCTTTCCACCTTTTGAATACCACCTTTGTCCAGATTTTGAACACCTTTTAGCAACGCCAAGGAGGTGGAGAAAGAGAAGGCTGTGGAAATGGTGCCTTTGGAATCTGAGAAATTGGATCAGGACGCTGTGGAAGCCATGGAGGGAACCGATTGCAAAAAGAATGAGGTGCATGTTTCGAATGAGATGTCCCAACAATTGCCTAGTGTGGAACCTGAAGGTGGTGCTCGTCCAAAAAAACATACTGCCAGTAAAGCAGCCCCGGCAAAGCGGCATCGAGGGAAGCAACCCGACAAGTCTGAACAGCCTGCCACACACAACAACGTTACTTAGCAGTTCAATGTAGTTTTGCTTGTCCACAAGCCTTCATTTGTGACCTTTCTGCACCTCCTGCCTCAAAGCTGGTAATGAGGCTGGTGATACTGATGCAGAGAAGGAGATGACTATCAAAAGGGCACTGCATAGTGTCCCTCTGCTGATACTGGGACTGGGGCTAGTTCCAAAGTTAGGCTGGGAAGAACTGTCCTTGCCAATCAATCTGGGGTGGAAGATTTGAGGTCTACAGTGCTGCTTGGAAAGCGGCTAAACTTCGTGGGGAATCGAAAGAACAGTGTGCCCAGGAGGCTCGGGAGGCAAGGAAACTGTCTCTTGGCCTAAATTGCTCAAGGGTAAACCTAGTACTTACCAAAGAGTTTTGCCTAAAAAGGCGACCTGCAACCTGAAAGGTATTGCTGGGAGAATTATCGTGATCGCAACAGCCCTGTGGTTCAGAAGCTTGACTGCCAGCCAACAGAGTTCACTTTAGCTCATTGGAAACTTTGTTTTTTGTCGTTGGCTGACCTAATGGGTTTACAAAGTTGTAGGTCTAGCTTCTCTCTTCAACATTGTCAGGAAGTGGCTGCAGAACTAATCGGCTTATGAATCTTTTGTCCAAGCTTGAACTGCCTTGGACTGCTTTGGGGATTTGGCTGACCAGCCGAAAGATGCTTTGAGTCATCTTCAATACATTTGGAAGCGGACAACTGCTAACTTGCAGCGTGGAAAAAAAGCTTTCAAGACCGACGCGCCCTGGTCCTCCCATACCCAAGAGGTTCAGCTACTAAGTATGAGCCATGGTGCCTTTTAGAAAGAGCCGCGAATCTTGCAGGCAAACATCGCACAGGATCATCCCAAAGGGAAACAATGCATGACGAGCTGTTCTGAATTGTTCATCTTTGCCTTCATCTTCTCACATTACCTGGTTACAACATGTTACAACCATTAATCTTACATAATCTGACCCAACAATTTTGAGCAAGTTGGTTCATGAACCAAGTCTGGAACAAACAGAGTTGAGCCACAGCTGATGTGCGAAAGCTGATACAGCAAACTAAAGCACAAGAAAACAAAGACCTGGTTCCATTTGGTCAAGGATCTGGTTACCATGAGTGACTCTTATAGTTAGTTGGAATATGTTTTGTCCAACACCCTCAATGACTCAACACAAAGCTGGACCACCATCAACATGAACAAAGCGTGGGATGCTATGCTATAATGCTATATGTCTAAATATTCCGGGCAAGATTTTGACAAGTACACTTGCAACATGCGAGAGCAAACTATTGAATATCAACTACCATTCCAACAATAGTTCACTTTCTGGAAGAAGTCACACGAAACACCTCTTACTGTAATATTATCAGTGTGAGTATCAGCGTGAAGCACCTCACGAAAACATCTCATCCATCTATCTTACTTCAAAGCTTTCAATCTAAGTGTGTTGTTTGCGAGTGAGGTACTTGGGCTGTAGGATGCTGTAGTAAAGCTTTTCAAAATAGGTTGGGTTTTGACAACTTGTTGCCATTCTAGGGTTACAGGCGGTGGCGACAAAAGAAACATAACAAATCTTGCTCAAATGAAAGGACTGGATAGGACCTGGTGAGGCCCTCTGGATACTTCGTGCTACTAGTAACAAGCGCATCGCTACTAGCAACAAGGGCATCACTACTAGTAACAAGAAGCTACTAGTTTGGCGGCAGACAGATTGCTCCGACGGAGGACGTGGTGCTCTTCGACCGGACCTTTGGCTTTGAGAGCGCAGTGGCCAAGGCCGACGGGATGTGTAGAGTGCACTCGCTGGCGGAGTCGTAGTAACGGGAGAATACAGTGAGATGTAGTGAGCATTGACATTTTGTCATATTTTGTCTAGGGGAGTGATGTGGCCAGAGATCCAAAGATTTTACAGTGTTCATTTTGGTGTTTCCCGAGTTCTATCAGCGGTGATTCTTCGATAGGGCGAGACACAGACACCCCCAAAGAACTGCGCACGTGTGCACCTTCTTGTTGGTGCGAACTTGGAAAGCACAAAGGTCATGGATCGACCCCCTCTTTTCGTTCGACTGAACCCGTTGCCGGCACCGCTGACGCTCGATCTGGGAGGCCTCGGAGGTGATCCGGAACGCCTGGGTGGAGGCCTCCAGCTGTGAGCGAGGTGCCCGGATTACGGTGGTTTTTGAGACGGTAGCAATTTTCGCTACTAGGAGCAAAGGGCATCGCTACTAGGAGCAAGGACGCTACTAGGGGCTCCTGGCCGTACTACTAGCAGCAAAGGACGCTACTAGTGGCCGAAAGGTGCTCTCTGACATCCGGTAGAGATCCGACACAAAGAGCGTCACATCCGGTAGGTAAGAAGCGACGAACGTAGCAAAGGGCTACTGGCTACTAGTATCAAGGGCATTAATTCATGTAAGAAGCTCACTTGCCTAGTAACAAGAATGTGCATTCTGTTGAGTGTGAAAGAAAACAGAAGCTCTTTGGCTTGAGGGACCCTGGCACTCACAAGACTTGGAAGCCCTCAAGATGTCCAAGCTGTGGTCTTTTTGATATAACAACCAACTCACAGTGGACTGGCATAACATTCTATGACCATTTTCAACCTCTTGTCTGGTGCGAAGAGGTGTGGGCATTGTGAAGCTCATGGGACGAGACTCTGGCTTTGTTGCCATGCATGCAGCAACTGCAGCAGATGTGGTGGACCTGTGCATGATTCCGGAGGTCAAGGTAGAGATGAAGGACTCTCCTCAATTCTGCTTGCGTGACTGGAATGTGTTGGGGGCTGTTAGGGGTGCTTGGATCATTCACCCGCTTCAATGGAGAGCTCGAACATTCTGAACTTTGGAACAGAGCTTGCTCGTGAGCATTCGCCTTTAAGACGCTACACTTACTCTCCAAAGTTCTTTTGCAAAGTCAAGGTGTTTATCGCACGTACGAAAACGCACCACCCCAAACGTGTCCAGTTGGTCGAGCTTCGCAGACCTTTGCAGAGATCCTTTGTTTGACAGGATGTCCTGGCACATGTGGATCGCACCTTGGCGCAAAAGGGCTACATGGTCATTGCCGTGGCCGAGGGAGCTGGCCAGGAGCACGTCTCCACGGGCGAAAAGGAGCCAGTCATCTCGACACGAAGACGCGCACAGACTCGTTGTCTTGCCGGGAGATTATTGGTTTGGGAGCGAGAAAAGCTCATGCCATTTCTCCAAAATTTTTCTCCTGCATTTGGGCTTTCGGTGACTTGATAGCTAGTGAAGTACCAGTGTGAGTGCACAAACGGGAGAGTGAGAGGGAGAGATGGAGAGAGCAAGCAGAGAGTTCATTGACCTGGACCCATCTCAATTCTTCTATATAATGGACATCCTTCACCCTTGATGATGGCCTGTAGCAGCAATCTTGAAGGACGCCACTGGCCACACTGTTTACGGTGACATTGGTGTCTTTCTGCGGGACACCTTGAACAAACATTTGCTCCTTGGCTTGAGCAACCTATGGTGCTGTGGTATGTAGAACATGGAAAACACACAAGTACAAACAGTGATCGACCCCAAAACATGTACTACTGCTGGATGCTATGGGATTTAGAAAGCACAGGAGCTCATACTTTCCCAATTCAGTTGCCTTGATTCCTAGAGTGTGGGGAAAGCTATATGGATCTTTTGTTGTAGTGAGGATGTGAGATAGCTGCTAGCTGCTAGCTGAAAACCAAAACCAGCTGATCATTAGATGGCTACCCTCACCAATAGTTTTTTTGCTGCTGGACGGTCCTATCTCATCCTATATTTGGGAAACGTTCAGCCCAAGAGTGCATCCAACATGACATGGCCTAGTGTTTGACCTACCAATCTCCCATGTCACTTGGAGCCCTGGATTGTTTTTGATCTGGGGTCAAGTATACTGGTGCTGTAGCTAGAGCAGCTAGAGCAGCGATCATATTCAGCTAGAAACTTCAGAAATACGTCCAAGTGTCAAGCAGTCATGGGAGTGTGCCACAAGCATTGCATCAGTCGGGCACCCGAGGAAACCATCAGGTGGGCGCACCTTCTACATCGACCCATCCTACATCATTCGCACCTCGTTGTGCAACACCTGTATTGTGCCATTGAGTGTGGTCGAGCAATGAGCGAGTAGCGAGTCAGACCTCACTCTACAAATCTCTTACAATTAGTTTCCGATGCCTTGAGATATATCTAGAGAACCAATTGTTTCTCAGATACCGCTTTGTTTGCTTTCTTTTGAGTTTGCAAAAAGAAGGCATCGCATCATCATAAGTATTTGGGACCTCGACTCAAGCCTTTGAGGTTCAGTGCCAATCAACCCCAATGACCATATCTACTGTGTACGCTTGGCCAATGACGCTGTGCACACGGCGATGCGGGGCTACACGGGTGTTTGCGTGGGAGCGATGCACAACGTGATTAGCATGTTGCCTTGCAGGCTGGAAGGCAACATGTTAGCGGAGGATGGGAGAATCGGAGAAACAATCGAAGAAGGCTTAGTGACAAACCTTAGTGACAATTGGAATGGGCCTTTGAATGCACATTTTGTAACTTAGTTCATTGAGCTGGGCCTTTGGGTACCTGGATGTACCTGGTTCTGGGACCAGCGCTGCCTGGTTTGGGTCTACTTCCTGCGAAAGTTCGCCAGAGGAAAGGGTCCTTCTTGAAGATGAACCACAGTTTCTTTCCCAGGGGCGGTGCCGTTCTGATCTTAATGAAATGCGGCTTTTCAGGATTCCTTGGGTGTTTGCCAGATCGTTCGCTCGGTTTTCATCCATATCTATGACATTCGTGAAGCACTTTGTGGGGTTTGGGACCCAGATGAACCCAGCAAGCATGTGGGTGTGTAAATAGGGGGACCCCCAATCAATCAATAGGTTTTGGTTTATTGCCCTTCTTCCAGGGGGTCTTTGGGAGGTCTGCCTGTTTCCATGTTTACTGTCACTTCCATGTTACTGGTCTGGGAGGATCCACTTCAGACTGATGGATAATGATGGACAACAAGCTCTGAAGCCTTTGCACATCTTTGCACTATTCTTGCTGAGAAGCCTTCCAACCTCGCTTCGAAGAAGGGTCGTTTTGCCAGGCTGATTGCCGGTGGGAAGAAAAAGGTCCGTCCTCACAGCAGCTCCTGGCAAGGATGTGTCGGGGCTCTCGGCCTTCTTGGAAAACCATCCACGGACCTTTTGCGACCAAAACGCTCAGAGGTGAGTGCGACCCAAACAACCATGTCCTGTACGATTTTGGTATTGCGGTTTGAAAAACTGCATGTTAGACACATATTAGACGTATGTGAACCAACGTTGCAAGATGTTAGTTGTATTGGTTCCTACAGCATGCTACAGCATTCAATCCCAATCCATATGGATTTGTTCCACGGTGCAATGGTCTTCTGCTGCTCAGGTGCAGATCTGTGGGATGCCCAGAAGTTTGTCCGGACTCGAGACTTGCGCTCGCTCAGGGTATGCCTGAAGCAGAAATGTTTAAGTGTTATGAGGTTGGATGCCTCCATCCAAATCCTCAAACATGCCACTCTTGTGCGATGTGGACCCTTGCAAAAGAAGGTAACCGGCGCGCAGTTTTTCTTTCAAAGGGTTCTGCTGCGGTGCCTTAATTGCTTCCTAAGCAATTAGTTTGAGCAGCGAAGCGCCATCCAGTACTGACAAGCTTTGAGTTGTCATAGTTTTAGAGGCCTAACTCCGTCCATTTCAGGAACCACAACATCTCACCTCTTTCTCTCAACACTCTTTCACCAACACACCACACACACTTTTTTTTTAATGCCCTTGACAAAACGTAATTATCACATGCCGTTGTTTCACAAGTCCAACGACCTGTTATTGCTTCAAAACGGTTGCACCTCTCAGCGCTCCTCCACTACGTATTCTCGCCGGCTCTGTCACCAACAACGGCAAGCATCGGAACACCTTTTGATTTAACACTTTGTTCTGGCGCAACCTGTTGGTTTCGTGGTTCCTGCAAGCACAAATTGCGCGCGTAGTTCCATTTCTTGAGTCTGTTTATTGAACGTCGGAGTAACTCGTGTACAGAAGACTTTGACGCAGATCAGATTCAGGCCGAGCACCATGGAATTGGAGACAAGATGCCGTATTCGCGGCCCAGCAAAGTTCCCTTGAACCACCTTCAGAGAAATCCAATTCCACATATTCTTGGCAGATTGCAATGCTCTCGCCCTGAGAATACTTTGAATGCTCTTGGTGGCGTTTTGATGTACAGAAGTTTCCACTTTCATGCCCCTGGCAAACAAGTCCCGGGGCAGAATGCTCAGCTTCAAAGTGGCAAAGGAAACGGCTGCAGAGAGTCACCCAGCAACATTCATAGAAGGTTAGCTTTGGATACATGAAATCCTAAAACCTCTAGAGTTTGCGTTTTGGGGCAATCCTCAGGAGGGATTTGGCCCAGATTAACAGGTTCCTTAATTCCGAATCCTTCTGAGTTGTCCTTCCAATGACCGTGGCATTTTCGATTTTGAAGCTTCATTGAATTCAAAGCTTTTGCCTTCACTGCCCTGTGCACGCTTGGTGCCATGAGGCTCGCGGAGTGAGGAGTTCAATCAAACCTGTTTGGTGTTTGTATTTGTGATTATTTGTGCCTGTATGTAATGAATGTACTGTAGTGTAGTGTAGCGTAATGGCATGGTATGGCATGGAACGTAATGGAATACAATGTAATACAATGTAAGGGTATGTATGTATGTATCTATATAATGTAATAATGTAATATTATGTACCAGGAGTCACAAAGGGGTGCCTATTGGAGGATAGGGGTGCCCATTATCCACTCACATAGGGACTAGAAACCACCCCTTTGTGACTCCTGGTAATGCTATGCAATGTAATGTAATGCTATGTAATGTTATGTTAGTTTGAAACTCACAACGAAGCAGCTTAACAAATGTATGTATGTATGTATGTATGTCATGCCATGTCATGTCATGTCATGAAATGAATTGAATTGAATTGTATTGTATTGAATTGAATTTATGTATGTACGTATGTATAAATGTACGTATGTATGCATTTATGTATGTATGTAGGTATGTATTGATGTAACGTAATGTAATGTAATCTAATGTTATGTTAGGTAATGTTATGTAATGTCATGTAATTTCATGCGATGTCATGTAAGGTTATGTAATGTTATGTAATGTGATGTAACTTTATGTATGCCATGTAATGCCATGCAATGCTATGTACTGTTATGTAATCTAATGTGATGCAATTTAATGTTATGTAATGTTATGTAATGTGATGTAATGGGATGTAATGTTATGTAATGTTATGCAATGTCATGTAATGCCATGTAATGTTATGTAATGTTTTGCAATGGTCTGTAATGTTATGTAATGTTATGTAATGTGTAATGTTGTGTAATGTTGTGTAATGTTATGTAATGTTCTGTAATGTTATGTAATGTTATGCAATGATTTGTAATGTTATGTAATGTTATGTAATGGTGTGTGTGTATGTATGTATGTATGTATGTATGTATGTATGTATGTATGTATGT